TGAATGCGATGTGGCCTATAAATTGACTTGCGGGGGCAGCCGATGTACAATTAGAAGCAAAGAAAAACAAACATGGGAAAGGAATACACTCCACAACACAGATGATCCGTTTCGCTCGGTATCGCAGACGAATCATCATTGTCTAGCCAACCCCCGAGCATCATCAGTGCGATAGGTTGAAGACAAGAGGACATAGACTACATAGGGGAAGGTGTGAGAAATAAACAAAAAGAGAGAGATTGTAAAAAAGGGGGTAACATGCAAAGTTCATGCCATCAAGAGATGATGGCATGAATTATTACTACTAACACGAAGTGTGCTGTAAATACTTGTGGAAAGGAAGGGAAAAGGAGTAAACCGGCAAAACCACTGAGAGAATGTTGAGTATAAGAGAAGGTATACCAGAAATAAATCAATTAAAGAACAGTGGAAAGAAGGGAATTAGTGTTGATCACTGCTGCAAATGAGTAAACCTGTGACTAGTCTATTTATCTTTCTATAGTTATTTGCGATTGAGTACTTGTAACTTATAAATTTATTTTTATAAATACACTTAACAATGCTAGTAATAATAAAATCTTCCTCATAGCCATTTTTCAAAAGAGTGGTGATCATATCCGTTATTTTGCTAACGAAAGCGTTGAAGAACGAACAAGTGTTCGCTAACCTCAAAGTTTCCGTATATATAACAGAGGATTTGTTGATAAGAGAGATATTTGTGTCCCTATACGGAAATCTGATAACACTGAAGGTAAAATCATCCGTTTTATTATACAGCTTGGTACTAATTTTACCGTTAATGATATTAATTGTTAAATCTAAATAATTACTAGAAACCTCACTATTATGAGTTTTTTCAACTGAAGGGTATTTTGATAAACTTGAGAAAGTAGTTCATCCACATCATCATCAGTTTGGTTGTGAACAACAAGCAAATCATCCATATATCTATATGGGATGAACAGCTTAGTTTTATTAAACTTTTTAGATTTAGCATAGTCATATTCCATGACAGAAAGCGTAAGATCTGCTAGTAGTGGACTGAAATTGCCACCTTGTGGGACACCTTTAGTCTGTTTGAACGTATTATTAGCAAAAAGACAAAAGCTGTTACGTAAAAGATAGTCAATAAAGTATACTAAATCGCTGGATTTGTAATATCTGTAGTTGTTCTTGAGTTCTTTACCATCTGTATAGAAAACATGGTAACCATTAGTGGCAATAAAGGATCTGTTGGCATTTTTGAAGCAAATGTTAAGGAGTTCCTGCATTTTCTTAAGAATAAGATCATGCTCTAAATTTGTGAACATGTCAGTGAAATCTGCTGTGTAAATTTTGAGATTGTCGAACGTGATGCTGTGTAGTTCGTGACTTATATTAATATTACTTATAGACCAGTATGTCTTGATAGTCCTGTTGCGATTCCGAATTGCTTTAGCGTAGTTTATGAAGTGATTTTTAAGATGTGTAAAGATTATGCGTAATTCCTGAGCCAGTGGTTTAATACTACTGCTATGTGCACCTGTGATGTACCTGAATTTAACTGGGTTCTTATGTAGCTTTGGTAAGGCATATATAGTAGGTATTTCTGCATCAATGGATATATTGATAATATATTCTTGAACACAAAGGAACTTGGTGTTTCAATATTAAAGAAAACTTGTTCGTATGAGGCATCAACTCATATGTGTTATTACTATTTCCATAGACAAATGTGTGGTTGGCAGCATCATAAGAAATGCCCATTTCATGCATAATGTTCAGAAGGTAGAACTTCTTACAGATGATGCCATAGTTATTATTTGCTTTGTCGAGTGGGCAGAACACGTATTTTTCCTGATATTGTTTGATTAAAGTTGTAAGGTATGTGTTCCTCAGTGCTTAGCTCTCATATTAGCCTTTGATCAGTAGAAGGTTTTACTTTGTCTTCTATTTCGCCTATTAGTGAACGTTTCCAACCTAAGAATGGTAATTTAAGAGCAAAATCTTCCCCATAGGCGGGACTCGAATCCGCACCTTCTCGCTTCAAAGCAGTTGCCGGCAGCGTTGCATTTGACTACGAGACCGATGGCAGAGAACTGAAGGGAGCTTCTATCTCTCTGGGAGGGCCCATTTAATAGAAACGTTGTCTAGTTATGTTCTAAAATTGCCATAAATCCTTTGATCTTCGGTTCCCAGAATTTGTCGAATTCACGGCGCAATCTATACTTGTTGTTGCTTCTATTTTCTTAAAAAACCATTGTTTGCATCACGTCTTCCATTTGTTATTCTTGAGTTTTACCTCTTACTGCTCATTTTTCTGATAGGCAATAATTCTCATAGTCACATAGTTGTTTAGCCCTAAGAGGGTTCATTCTCATTGATCCTTAGAGTGGTCTCATAAAGGAACAGTTTTATGGATGTTAAAGACTTTTTCTGATAGGCAATAATTCCCATAGTCACATAGTTGTTCAGCTTGTCCCAAGAGGGTTCAGTCTCACTGATCCTTAGAGTGGTCTCATAAAGGAACAGTTTTATGGATGTTAAAGACACATGGTACGATCACACATAGTTTGGGTGTGCGTGACTATCAGCCCCCAGCTGTCGAAGCGTAGCGGTTTCCCCGTCCTAACATGCGCAGGAATGGAGATACAGGACCGTGAAACACGCTAATTCCTCCATGCTCCGCCCAATGCCTTTTGCGGCGCAGACTCCCGTTTATGCTAACAGCCGTCCGCGCGGCGCGTGTCGCGCGCAGCGCTCTTGGCACTTTGCCAAGTCCTGTAATTGCGCTTTGGAATACAAACGCAATTTCCTGATGCGGATAACATTTGAGGTGTTGCTCATGCTTCAAAGTCCGAATAGAAGGTGATGAAGATGACAAAGGCTAGAAATGAAGAACAACGAAGTAGATGTAAATAAACAAAAGAAAAAAAATCAAGGAGAGAATGCGAGATTAAATTAACATGCGCGGTATGCGATTTCTGCAATTCGGGCGATTCCGGCTCCGAAGCCATAAAAAATACCTTTGAACCTAAGGAGGCTGGAAACTGCTTAAAGCCGTTTTTATTCCATTGTTTTCTGGACGGAGTGCCGGCCTCCGAGGATATTGCCAGAAACACACAGTTGGCTCTTGAGTTCTAGCCTGCGTATCATCTTCGCCGTTCTTATTTTGCACCTCAAATGTTTATCCGCCAGCACTAAATTGCATTTTACTGGTATTGCAAAAGCGGCATTAACAGGACTTTTGGTAAAGTGCCAATAAGCCGCTTCGCGCGCCGACCACGGCGCCGCGCGGACGGCGGTAGCATAAGCGGGAATCTGCGCCGGCAAAAAAGCATTGTGCGAGCATGGTGCGGATGTAGCGAAAGTCTCACGTCTTTGTTACTCCATTTCCTACGCACTGTTAGGACGGGGAAACCTCTACGCTTCGACAGCTGGAGGGGGCTGATAGTCACGCATACCCAAACTATGCTTGATGGTACCATCTGTATTCAAGCAAACATGTGTTTTATGATGAAATTGCGCATCTAGTAAGCCCCTCCTTAAGCTATTAAATCAAGCATATAAAAAACAAAGACTTGTTCGCTAAGGATGCGTCATGCTGTTATCTTTCATCCGAAATTGTATAGTTCCTTTGATGCAGTCGGCTTATAGGAGCATTTTGCTAGTCGCTGCTCTTCGCGTACTTGGCTTTGGTTCTGGTAGGTTTCTGGGTAGTAATCAAGGGCTGCGAGCATTAGAATAAAAAGAATTGAGCTCCTGAAAGGATTCGTTCGTTGGTCGCTGTACTATTTGGTGGAGTTTTTTTTGCGAACTTTTTTTTCCAGCCATCTAGGGCACGCAAAATTAGATTACCAGCCAACTGGGCGATATGGCCCACCACGTGCCTGCTTGTGCTATCTCAGTTACTGAACTGTTTCAGATCTCCCGAATCCCAGGAGGGACAAATGTGACACTTTACTCGGAGTAGTATTCAGTTTATCTCTCTGGATGACACTCCTGCCTTTCTGCGAAAGGTTTCCACTATGATTCGTGGTCTATTTGGCTGTTCGCCTTACTCCATGCCAATCCCAAGGGTGCCACAGCTCATAGATATTTCAGACTGACCTCAGCATGTGTTAGCACTTTGTTGTCGCCGTCTATCACATGCTTGTCTGCGTTGTCCCTCTGCTGTGATATTATTGCTTGAACTTGTCGCCGTGGTGGTGCCCGATCTGCTCCACAAAGCTTTTTTCTGAAAATTCAGATCATCCCGATTAATTCCTCAGACCCCCCCCCCCTTGACACGCCCCAGCATGCGGTGCGAACAAGGCTATTGACTTCCAAGTTTCCTGACGACTGATTTTCCCGTTCTTGGCGCACTTTATGCCGCGGTTCGGATCTCCTGAACTACTTCCTGTGTAGCAGAGCTTAATAAATCCTAGAACAGCATGGGTGTGGCTACCGTTTCTGGGCTCCCGTTTTCCGGATTTGAATAGTGCTTACGTCACTGTCTTCGGGGTTAAGGGCATTGAGTGGGGGGGAGGAGAGGGTGGAACGTGTTCAATAAAGTTTTGGCTTTGGGGAGATAATTTCGTCTTACAAGACTACCCCACAGCGACCTAGTCGCCTGCGCTTTGAACCTTAGCCACTTTGGGGAAGGAAAGCAGAGGTAGGTCTGAGTTGCCTCCCTCCCCCACAGCTACCTAGCCCTGTCTTCTTCGGCCAGAACTCTACTGAGCGGGCCCACGAAGAACAGAGTACTCTGTCTGAGTAACCCACAGGCAACAAATGACGCCATCAGCTCGAGCTCCATCTCAGCACACGGAAACATTGAGTTTCAAAAGTACACGACGGGATTCGAAGAGAAGCGGATGTAAGAGTGACAAGTGCGATCGAAATCCGTCAATTGAATTGTCATGTAAGAAAAAAAAACTGGCTTCACTTGACGATTTGGAACCTGATAATTTCGGCCATTTTTGTGATGAGTAGCCAAGTTGCATGGTGGGAGACGGAAGCAGTTTTCATAAAAGGCTAGCAAAGACCGTTTGGGGCAGCGATATGAGCTGGGATGATGTCCTATGTTTCAAATAAGATTAGTGCATGAACGTGGGTGTGGCGGGGTGGGACATGGGTAGCGGGGTTGATGAGCTGGTTGCGTCCTAACTGAAGCCGTTGTCGGAACTCTTTTTATAAAGAGCACGTCAGATTGCAGCCTTTATTCTGTTCTTCGAACTATCTCGTCGATTGTCGGAATCATTCTCAGACCGTCTCTCCTAGGTCATTCATACGTCCACGAGAATCCTTGATCGCTAGTCCTTATTCCGTCGTTCTCTTGTCTTGACTCCAATTTTTGATGACTTTGATGCTTTTCACGAGGCTACAAGGTCTTCCGCAAGTTTTGGATTTTAGCGTCCGGAAACGATTATCGATTCTGCCCGTGTACTGATGAGTTGGATTCGGAACCAAATACTGCTGAGACCAGGACACATCCCAGCGTTTGATAGAATTTTCGTTAAACAGCCCAAAATCCCCCAGCCCAAAATTTCTTTCTTCTACACAGCCCCCTCCACATCCTATCAACCATCTCCCCAATCTCCCAACTTCCCACCATTTTTTCCAGGACTTTTTTTTCAAAATACTGCAGCCGAGCGGGGAAGGAGGGGGGGGTAGGGGGGTGAGGCGAATAGCGCACGTGAAACGGGAAAACCGAGAAAAGTAAACTACATAAAACGTTTTTTACAAAGGCAAACATGACCGTCAAGCGATCAAATACGGTCCCCTAAGGCGTACAAACTCCTCCTCCTCCTTCTCCTGGTATGCTCCGCCCTTTTCTGCAATATTGCACAACTTTTCAATTCTTTTTCCGTTTTCAGTAATGTAATTACTTGAGTCGTATCGGAACGTGTCAAGTGAGAGAAATCAAATTTCTGGGATCTGATTAAAGGGCTCGTTTGCACGTTTCTCAAAGGACTAGCTTTCTTCTTAATCGGGTCATGGAGTCGCAATTTCCTTATTTGGCACCGTTTTTGCAACACAGTGACATCCGAGACACATTCTGTCATAATCTGATAGGTGGAGTCGTTTCCATGAAGAAGTAGTCTTCAGTACTCTCACTCAGGTCACTCCTATCCCAATTTCACTATTCTACTGTGAACAGCAAGAACATTTAGCGTAATTTACCGAAACTTTCAAGAATGCCCGCCCATTCCTGGGCTTCGCTGAGGCATGTAAGAAGGTTCTCGTTACTTTTTCCACTGCCGGTAAGCAGCTCTAACACATACTTGGTCCAGGAAGCCCACGAACTAGCCGCGTAATGTCTCTTCAAATCCGCTCACAGACTCGTTCGCTGCGGACTTTGGGGCGTGTCAGGGGGCTGGGTTTGGCGCCTCGCCAGCCCGTTCTGCGACTGTATGTTATGGAGAATGACCAATACGAAGATATGATACGGTTATTGTTGCTTTCTCACTCCATCAAGTGATGGAAAACGGAGTGGCGCCGCTCCGCGACAACTCACCCTCTCCCCCCCCCCCCCCCGCTGACACTGTCCATCATCCACAGCGAACAAAGCTGGGTCTGTATCTCACTCGTTTTCATGTTACATCCCAATGTCACTGCTCGATATTGAGCAACAAGAATGTTGCGGTATCATTTGGCTAAGAAGCGCCGCCTTGGAAATTACCCTCCCCCGTGTGCGCTGAGATCGTCTTTTTGTTCTCTGTTACCTTGTGGTGTGTGTGATGAAGAAAGGGCGTGACACCGTGCCAAGGCCCACCTTTCCTCCTCCCCTCACACGCCCCATCACCCGCAGACTGGAAGTCCCCATCTGCGCCCTCGGGTAAAATGAAAATTTCAGCTAGAATAGGTTTCACTGGATAACTGCTTGCTAATTCTCGGAGGAGATGTGGGAGAAAACGAGAAGTCGTGGAGAACTCGGAGGGGGAGGACAGTGGGACGGTCGTTGCTTCCAAGGTGGTGATGCTCTACTGCAAGCGAGATGCCGCAGTTCCCTATCCGTCAGGGTCTGAGAAGAAGGGCAACTAGGTGACTCACCACGCGCGCTCCATCGCTAGTCGCTGGATTGCTTACCCATTCTTTCTGGACCCTCACCCCCCCCCCTACCCTCCTCCTCGCAGAAGATTCATCCGTGTAAGTGATTCCAGTCAAGATTCCTAATAATACAAAGGAGTTGCGACCTATGAAGGTTGCTCTAGCGCCATTTCCACGTGCAGTAGTTGTGCTATGTTCACTCACCTGTATCACCTGTGCTCCCGTTGATCATCGAGTTCCTCGAGCGGGCGCCAGTAACGTCTCCATTCGTCCCTGCAACGTGCAAGAGTTGCCCAATGAACTCTCAGCTCGAGGGACACGATGAACTTCATACCATTCGTTCAGAGCTTTCACGAAGAAGTCTGACCATCGCATAGGCGGTCGTCCAGGCGTTCGCTTGACATCCCGTGGAATCCAGTCGGTGATCGCTCTGGTCCAGCGGTCGTCCTCGAAACGCATGACGTTGTGCTATGTGAGCGAAAAAAACCTTCGTAAAGCACTTGTTCCCGGTTGAGCCTTCTTTCTAACCATCATTTGTTCAATGTCAGTGATGGGTTCATCTTCGGGTTGTATGCCATCAAGTACTAGGTTAACCACCTTGTCAATCATATTTGTCAGACAGTTGTCGAACTATGAGCTAGACTATTGACCGCGTTTTTGCTGGGTCCAGCGTGATTGAGGGTGAACTGGCTATTTATATGTGGATGCACCGAAATTCATTTGCACTAGCTGACTACAACAACCTTGCGTGCACATTTAGGACCCCATATGCAGGACTAGAACTACCGTACTGGAGATGGAATTATGCCCAAGCTTGGAAGGCAAAGAAGCTTCGGCTCGGGTAAACCAACTTTCAAGAAAGGCAGTTCTGTCCGGACAATGTTAATCCAGTGTGTCTTTCATCAGAGCTTACTTGTTGACCTCTGTAAAACTGGTCCATTCCATATACCTACTTGGGTATACGGAAAGCTTGAACTCCTGAGCTCCCTCCTGAAAACTCTCTACCCTAACTCACGACATTTTTGCATCTTTCTATGCCTTTGGGCGATCGCAGTCACCTATGCGCTCCGCTCTCGCCGTGGGTTACAGAAACCTGCGACAGATCTGCCGATCCTCGCTCAGTTTCAAGGGGATCAGTAAGCATGATGCTGTGGAAGATTAACACATCGCGTGAAGGACCGGCAGCTCAGCTCCACGAGGTTACTTTGCCGGTTCAATCAGCTAACCGTGCACTGCGATTGCTCAGAGAAAGGGTGGAATTTATCTTCGCTGTAGGATTCCAAGGCGCGTTGATAAACAATCTAGCCTTCCTTGTTGGACACCCCCCCCCCACAAAGGGTACCCGGGTAATTATCTCCGGGTTGAATCGCATTAGAAGTGTCTGCCGTATGAATTGCTTGTTACTAGCAATATAATGCACTGTAATGGTGTGCTATCTTGTACGTGAGTGCCAAGAGTCTGAGCATATTGGGCCCTGCGAGAGGGCTAAAAGGTGGCTCTGCCGGGTCTGACGATTACAGTTTTTATTTGGTCACACTGGCCCATTCTGGGATTGTACTGTAGTGGCAAGTAGCGCAACCGGCACTATTGAACTATTCCTACCCTAAAAAAACTGAAAAAAAAATTTCGCTGAAACTTTGCCTATAGGTGTAGTTCGATGCCCTGATCACGAATATCACATTCATTTTGAGCGCTGGCGCCATTTGGCGCAATTATGCGCCAATTTGGTGCAACCACTTTTTTCACCAAAGTCGATGAAAACTCGCATATGGAGGGTAATTGACATCTTGATTACCAATATCACATTCACTTTAAGCACTGGCGCCATTTGGCGCCATTGTGCGCCGATTTGGCGCCACCGCTTTTCTCACCAAAGTAGATGACAGTTGTATCTGGGGTTAATTGAGGTCCTGATGGGAAAATACCTCGTCTCCACGGCAT